ACACAATCATCAATATGACCATTACTGGGGTTTTACTATGTTACTGTAAACACAATCATCAATATGACCATTACTGGGGTTTTACCATGTTACTGTAAACACAATCATCAGTATGACCATTTCTGGGGTTTTACTATGTTACTGTAAACATAATCATCAATATGACCATTACTGGGGTTTTACTATGTTACTGTAAACACAATCATCTAGTAAAACCATTACTGGGGTTTTACTATGTTACTGTAAACACATTCATCAGTAAAACTATTACTGGGGTTTTACTATGTTACTGTAAACACAATCATCAGTAAAACCATTACTGGGGTTTTACTATGTTACTGTAAACACAATCATCAATATGACCATTACTGGGGTTTTACTATGTTACTGTGAACACAATCATCAATCAGTAAACACAATCAGTTGATATACATACACAAGTAAGTAACATCTATGATTTACATTGGTAATGTATGGTGTTTAGAATGTGTCACTCTACCAGTTGATATACATACACAAGTAACATCTATGATTTACATTGGTAACGTATGGTGGTTTAGAATGTGTCACTCTGTAACATCTATGATTTACATAATGGCTGGAGACGGCTTAAATGGGTAATGAAGAAAAACTTTAATATAAGTTTAACATGACAGCAAATGTACAACGTTTCGACAAGGTTTTGTCATCATCAGGTACAGCCGTCTCCAGCCATTATTAGTCTCAAAGTGGGTTCCTCGTCATCGAATCTATGATTTACATTGGTAATGTATGGTGTTTAGAATGTGTCACTCCACCAGTTGATATACATACACAAGTAACATCTATGATTTACATTGGTAACGTATAGTGGTTAGAATGTGTCACTCTACCTGTTGATATACATACACAAGTAACATCTATGATTTACATTGGTAACGTATAGTGGTTAGAATGTGTCACTCCACCAGTTGATATACATACACAAGTAAGTAACATCTATGATTCACATTGGTAATGTATGGTGTTTAGAATGTGTCACTCCACCAGTTGATATACATACACAAGTAACATCTATGATTTACATTGGTAACGTATAGTGGTTAGAATGTGTCACTCCACCAGTTGATATACATACACAAGTAACATCTATGATTTACATTGGTAACGTATGGTGTTTAGAATGTGTCACTCCACCAGTTGATATACATACACAAGTAACATCTATGATTTACATTGGTAATGTATGGTAGTTAGAAAAACCAATGTACAGATTATACACACATATATATAAACAATATCATGGAATAGTTATATTTGTAATATGTACTTGTAACTGATCTATAACACATTCTTCTACTAAAGTATATTATACAGCAATGTGTTTTTTATAGTTTCTAAAGACAGGGGCTTGTAAGAAATACTAATAATTTCTACCATATTTGTGATCTTCCTTATAAAACATTCTATACAATAAGCAAATATCACTAAATCTTTCATAAATGGTGCCTAGAGGGAACTCAATTACCAAGTTTGAGGAATCACATTAGATTAAATTAAATTCAAAATGGCTAAAGATGGCCATAATTATCTGTAAAAACATAAAATGTTTGAACAAGTTAACTGATATGAGAAGTTGGTATGTTGAAACTGTGTGTGTTAAAATGTGTATTTATTATTCTTTTTTGTGTTATTTTAAATGATCTTAGTTTAATTTCAAGATGTGTTTTAAAAACAGGAATAACAGTGACCTAGATAACTTTAACATAACTTAGGTTACACATTTCATGAAAATGTTAATAAGGGTGATACTTACTCTCATACTTGTCAATACCCATGAAAATGGTCATTGGAGGAGACACAACTAATTAAAAAAAGAAAAGATATAAAAACAAGTTCATATCGTATTTTTACATTCAGTAAGTTATTTTAAGTAATGAAATCTGAGATTTCTAAGTAAAATAATAATGTTAATACAGTAAAGTATCAATAAAAGAACTTTGGATATAAAGAGCAAAGTTATACAAAGCCATCCTTGCCTATCTTCCAAGCCACTCTTTCAGACTCTTCACTGCTTGGAAAACAATTCAAATGTGGAAAAAAACAACAGACACTGCAAAAATATTTTCTGTTGAGGTCCACAACAATAGTTAAAACAAATACAACAGTTTAACTGTCATTTGCTCCATAAAATTAAATAGCAGGAAAGAAAACTGTGTAAAATTAAAAGATTCAGGACAACACAGAAAGAACGGTCAATCTTGGTGAGTGAAATATTCTTGGTATAACCATAATTAACTGAACGAACCAAGATATTTAATATCTTGAGGTCCAACCAGTACACTTCAGACTGTAAACAAAGTTTAGAATGATAGAAATCATGTTACATTCATTAATGCTAATATTTTAAAACACATTTAGAACGATTGTCTATTACATTACAAAAACTTTTGTTTGAATTTTGATGCAATTTTATTACGTTCTTTTTTTTTTTATGTTCATAAACAAGCAAGGTAGTGGAATATCAAAATACACAAGGCATGTATTCAGTATTATAATATAGACAAGGGTGTAGCAGCAAAGACGCACCTCCTTACACCCGGGGTCCAAGGCACACCTTATATCCCTGGAAGCTCTTGGGTTTTGGATTAAACTTTATCCATCCTCCCGAGGTTAGTTTTTCCTAATTTTGAAGCATTTTTAATTTTGTTACTAAAATATTAGGGCATTTTGCAATGAGCGGAGGGCCGTACTTCTTGCTTTCTACGCTACTGTAGTAAGTCTGTAGACAGTTTAAACATATTAAATTAATAAATGATATTAAAGTTTTTCTTCTTCCAAAAAAATTACTAATAGTAATATTAAATATTAATAATGGAACTAACAATTATTCTGATTTTGAATTACAGTACTGACAATAACACTCTGTACAGCACTTTGTAGACGTAGTGCAAACATTTTCTATATACTCTGATTCCAATATCTCTGACCGCCTCTATTTATAAACTTTTAAAAGGAAGAAAAGAAAATATCCAATTACTTTACCATTACTTGTAAAGTAGAATACCATCTTGATGTTTATAAAAAAAACGCACTGTTATTATGCTATGCCAATTCACAAAATATGGCTGGCTGTATCTAATACAACGCCATCTATTTTATTAAAGTTATTACCCATGAGCCTTCATTTTTTTGCCGCCAACTACAATGTGTGAAATAAGCGCGCTGAGTTTAATTCGTTAGACAGAGTGCTCAATAGATGTATCTGAGTGAAACAAGCAAAATTTGAGGCAAGATTTTTCCAGATAATTAATAAAGAAGTAAGAAAAACGTAATTGGAGGCTTTCATAATTATAAAATATTGGTGTGTGAAGTGATAACTTAGCCGACAGATACCAATGACTAAATTAAGCTGAACTGTTTTCTGTAGTCTAACACTAAAGCTAGTGTAAATTTAGTAATATTAATATAACTGGTAGTAGTACCAGGTTAGATTTAGGTTGACAGTTACTTGTAAGATAGCAGGAAACGAGGTCTCGGTAATTTTGTCTGGAAATATAAGAAGAGGTAAACCTGTGTATATTAAATTTAGAGTAATTAACGTATCTTTTAGTTTCACTTAGCAAGTACTTGAGTTGAAGTTATTATTTTTCTTGGAATTTTTAATTAAACATAAAACTTAAAAGCGTGGCTAACTTATCGATTACCCATTGAACTAATATAGTTAGTAATTACTAAATAAGTAAGTTAGTAATACTATTATCAGCCAGATTATATTACTATTGTATTCTGTAAGGGTTAAATTTACTGTTAGTATTTCTAGAAGTAAAGTAAATTGCAATAATGGTTGATTTTTAATCATAATACTGAACACTACCAGAAACATTTTCAATTACATTATTTCAAATAAATTTTAAATGCCAAGAATGAAAACCTTCTATGAATTAACCAGAAAAACAAAGCCAGTAAACATGGTGGCCATTTATGTTAGAAAATAACAGAAAAAAACTGTATGACTTTTGACAAATGGCTACTTCTGTTAAACAAATACAAGTATGCTGTAGTACTAGCTAGCAGAATTTAACAGTAGTTAGAAAATACTCCTCACTCCAGGAAATATTTTACGTTAATAGCATAGAGCATGACGGATGCTATCGTAACCTCATGCTACTTGGGCTACTGATGTTTCTGGATGTACATAGGTTTGTTGATTATACATCCAGAAACTTTTTTAAACCACCTACAAGCTACAACAAAATACGGTGGTAATATTTCTGTTATGGTGTAAGGTAGCATTTGGACAGCTGGATGATCACAACTTTAACAGTATGTGAAACTGTAACTTGAAATTGAATGATGGGGCCAGTCATCAGATATGAAACATATTGGACAAATACAGTTCATCTTTGATTAGTCCTTGCACAACAACCAATGTCATCTTGAACTTTTTATTTCATGTTTTGTTTGTTAAGTCAGATGAAATTCTTTTGAGAGTGGCTACTTAGGCTGTGAATGTCTCAGTATGTGTAACACTAGTTATAAATAAGTATTGTAAGGCCTTTTTTTCATTTTTCTGTTATTTTATTTAGGGTTTAAGCATACAAGCTTCATATAGAAATAATTAATATATTTATTAGATTGTGTGCATTTTCAATACTGTTATTTTGTTTCCAATGTATGACAAATATAGTGTTGTTGGAATACTATTGTTATACAGTTTTATAATTCTTGAACATCCGTAAGGGACTGCATTAAGAATGTAGTGTTTAAAAATGTAATAGGCCTAATACTAATGTCTTATAACCAGTATACTTATAATCACTTTTTGCTGGTTTGTAAAAGGCATACACTTCATAACAATTGTCCCAAATTGTTTATATAAATATTGTTCCTGAAAAGCACTAAATTGCTTGAAATGCACCATCAACAATGGATATAATATAGTTAGAATACTAATGTTATACTTTCTAATTCTAGAACATTCTTAGGGGACCAGATAAGAGAGTATAATACTGATATCTTATGACAAGTATAACTGTACCTCATTTCTTGGTGTGTTTTTGTTATAGGTGGTTTAACTTTGAAATAGAAGCTGATTCAAGATGATCAATAGCCCAAGAAAAAGGAAGTTAAGCAGTGTGTTATCACCAGAGTCTGGGTAGGTTAAGCAGTGTGTTATCACCAGAGTCTGGGTAGGTTAAGCAGTGTGTTATCACCAGAGTCTGGGTAGGTTAAGCAGTGTGTTATCACCAGAGTCTGGGTAGGTTAAGCAGTGTGTTATCACCAGAGTCTGGGTAGGTTAAGCAGTGTGTTATCACCAGAGTCTGGGTAGGTTAAGCAGTGTTATCACCAGAGTCTTCTGGGTAGGTTAAACAGTGTGTTATCACCAGAGTCTGGGTAGGTTAAGCAGTGTGTTATCACCAGAGTCTGGGTAGGTTAAGCAGTGTGTTATCACCAGAGTCTGGGTAGGTTAAGCAGTGTGTTATCACCAGAGTCTTATTTGGTTTAAAGTAAATTGATAAGTTAGTTAGAAGACAAGAATATAATTAAGAAACAATATCATATGTAAGATTTTCTTGTTCTTATCTGTCATTCTTAATAGTTTAAATATATGAATTGAGTATGACACCAATTATGTATGAGCAAACAAAATTGTTAAATGATTCAAACTAACTTCATCAGGGAAACTATTACAAAAAAAAACACTTATCTGGATGTTTGAAGATTTCCATTAACAGTAGTGTAGGATCTGTTTATAGATATCATCATCTGCTTGTAGCTGTTCCACTCAGGAGATTAGATGTCAGTGCTGCCCGTCTGTCTGTCCTGTGCCTTCCTCAGACAATCACTATAGCTAGATTGTAACCACTCTGTGTCAACTGTGGTCTATTTTCTCCCTGGTTTACCCTATAACCTCCCACCTTGCCCTCTATCAAAGTTCTTTGAATCCTATTTGTTCTGATAATGTGTCCAAAATACATGTTTCTTTTGGATGTCTGCTTTTATTTTGTCCAGTTTCAATATTTCCTTGTCTGTTTTATACTCTATATATGATATTTTAAACATGCTACTGAGCATCCACATTTCCAGCTCTTTTAATTTTTTCCAAGAGTTCTTTGGTTAGTGGCTTCTTCTTTGTCTCTAACCTCATGTTTCTTGTTGATAAGACATCTTTCATACCAATAAAGTTTGCTCTTGCAATTTCTATCCATTTCTTGACTTTTGCCTCACCATCTTCATTTATTAGTTGCCTCAAGAAGATAAACTTGTCCACTTCTATTGTGTGACCATTCTCTATGATATTGACTCTTTTTCTTGTACAACTTAAAATAAAACACTCGGAGCCAGCCCTTATTCAAATGTGTATCAAACCTTTCCTTAAACTCCTTTAATATACTGCCGTAAGAGCAACTTACTCTAAAGGGCAACTACTGTTGGAAAAAAAAAAACATTTTTAGTAGAAGATGACTCCTACCCTGCCAAAAATTTATAATTGTGTCACCTAGTCCTAACATTCTCATCATTAAATATGAAAAAGGTTGATGCCTAAAAACTATCAGTTCCCTTAATCTCAAACACTTCAGACAGATCACCTTTAATTATTTTTTTTTCCCAAGATCAAATAATTTCAGAGATTTTAACCTTTCCTTATATGACAACCTTTTTATCCTGGTAGCCTTCCTCTGAACCCTTTCCAACAATTCAATGTCCTTCCTTAGGTAAAGAGCCTTAGACTGAACATGTCGCTAACAAGTGACCTATACATTGAAATTATAACCTCTTCAGACTTTTATTCTGTAAACTAATCTATTAAGAAAAAGTGTACGACTGAAGAGGACACGTGAAAGTCTTAAATACAGTACTGCCTCATTACAATTCTTTCTCAGATATAACACTGAAGTTCCTTGTCTTCCAAAAATTAAGAAAATTATTGGCTGTCATTGAACCCAGCAGGGATTTCATCTATCTGGTCAACAGTGATGTGATTAAAGAGGAAATGGTTTAACTTTGTGGAGAAGGCAAGAAGTTTCAAGGATTGTTTATAGGTGAAACCAAGATACTGCTCAGTGCAGAAGAAAATAGAGATGTCATTAATTGAAGCAGGTTTAGAGTAGTGTTTTATGTTGGTGTACTTTGGTGACAGATTT